TTTGCTTTGAGGCCCAAATCCTGGAAAGGCAGAGAGAGGAGGAACATCTCCGCCAGCTTCAGAGAGAGAGGAGAGAGATGGAGAGAGAGGTAGAAGAGGTATAGAGGGAGATGAGGAGGCTGAACAAGGAGGAGTGGAAGCTGGAGGAGAGGAGGAGGAGGCAGCAAGAGACGGAGAGAGAGGAAGAGAAAAGACAAAGGGCTCAGCAGAAGAAGTGGACAGAGCGCATCAAGGTCAGCCAGGAAGAGAGGCAGGAGCTGGAGGCGTTCCGAGAGCTGGAGAAACATCTGCAGCTGAGCGAGCTGAGAGCTCTGGAGAGAGAGAGAAAGAGCAGTAGAACAGAGAGGGAGCGTCACAGATCTACTAGAAAGGTGACAGTTCTGATCTTCTTCATCGTTACTGTTAGTGAGAACATTCAGAGAGGCTTCCAGTGAAATCAGACTCTTAAAAGCTTTTTACTCAGATTCATTCGGGCTCTTGATCTGCACATCTTCACTTTGGTCTTCAGGAAAGTGATGTAAACGCTCAGAGATGCACAATATATTGATTGATAATTATTATCGTGGCACTAATATCGCAGACTGCTTTATGCTAATGAGCCAGTAGCAAATCCCTGAGTGTTTTATTATGCGCTGTCCTGGCCAATCACAGACATTCTTGGACGAATAAAGATGTTCAAGTGATCTAACAAACGTAAATAATTTTGGCAAAAATAATGGAGGCCAATCTTTAACCACGACACACCAAGAGTTCAGTCTTGTACTGATTTAATTATGCAATATAAATGGGAAAAATATTTTCATGATTTTTCTCATTGAAAATGACAAAATTAATAGAATTAGAAAAGAAAGTCATATTTTTGGGCAGTACTCTGAATTTTGTTGCCATATGACAACAGCATGTGAAAATGCAACCGCAGTCTGCAATGTACACAGTGGAAGAAAACATGAGCATAACAACCACAAATGCATTAATGTTCATACAGAGTATAACAAGTATAAAAGTAATTAGAGAAGGCTAGATGAAGAGAGAGAAGCATCCTTCAAGAGAAAGGAGATGGAACAGAAAGAATGGGAATTGGAAATATCTTCCAGTTTCAGAAAAAAGGAGAGGAAGCTGGAGAAGCAGAAGAAGAAATGACAGAAAGAGATAGATAGGGAGATCTGCTCCCGGAACCTGTGAAGCAGAGATATGATGATATGAAGTGTTTGGTCCATATGGTGCAGCTCTACTCTCCACAGTCCTGTCACCCTCTCTCAGCAGGTCAGGATCATATGTTTATGTCCACATTTAAAGTCAAAATCACTGTAACATGCAGCCTACATGGATTAATCCCAAACTCTGATTTACTGAGATATCGTTTGTAACTGTTCACCAACAAATGTGGTGTTTCTGTTAAAGTGGCCAGTAACAATACCCGATGTTTTCCTCTGATTGTGTGTTTATTTTCCGTCTCTCTCTCTCTTTCTCTCTCTCTCTCTGCCGTAGCTGTTTAGCTCTCTTTCTGTCTTGGTGGTCTCTCTCTCTCTCTCTCACAATGGGAGTTTGAAGAGTCTTTTTCATGTCTCCACAGTGGATGAGTTGGTGATTCAGTTTGGTCGTGAGGATAAAGAACACTTGGCACTGGACTGCAGCTTCCCCTTGTGCGTGCTGCAAGCCTTCGTCATCGCCCTGTCCTGCTTCGACCAATGACCTCAGTGTCGGCTAGGTGGGGAGCACACCCAGTATTGTTTGTAAACAGGAAACCCGTCCATGAGTTCCCCAGGTAGCTGACCATTCTGGCCCAATTCTGGCTGACATCCACAAGTCTTGGTTGACTACCGGATAGATATTAGGCATGTGGGCCACTACTGAGCCAGATGATGGACAGCTGTGTAAGGTTTTGACTCATATTTACATTTAAGGGCAAATTCTGGTGTGAATGTTGTGGCCTAACAATGTGGATGAAAGAAGAGGGTCACAGCACAATTAAGTTGCGGCAGATTCGTGCTCAGTTGATTTACACCTCAGTACTTTTGGCCCTGGCATGTCTGGCATGTCATAAGTGGCCCACCCAGACAGCAGACCGTTCTCGACCAATTCTGGCTTACATATGCAAGTGTTGGTTACTTCAGGATAGATATTAGGCATGTGGGCCAGAAATTGCTGGGCAGCTGTGTATGGTTTTAACTCGTAACTACGTTTAATGTCATAAGCTGGCATGTCATAAGTGGCCCATTACTTAAGTTACAGAGAACAGCTGACACTCACCGTTTAAGGGACTTTCAAAATGGACAAGCCAACAGAAGTTTGAGAAGACAAATGGAAGAGGACATTAAAAAAGTAAGAAATATACTGTAAAAAGCACATTTACATACATTAACATGATTTGTGATGTGTAAGTTTAGTTCAGTGTGAACTATTTTAAATTATAATAGTGTTGCCAACTTCAGCTAGCTAGCTACTGTTTTTGTTACATTAGCTAGCTAACTTACCGCCTTTTCCTACCTCACGTGAACCAAAGTTGGCTAGCTAACAAGCAACCATGTAAAATCCTGAGCTATACTGACCATAATTTGCCACAAATTCGTATTGTAAGTGGGTATCTTCACTCTGTATATTATAGATTTTGAATAAGGTCTAATGTTTATTTTGGTGAGCTTTTAGCCAAAATCCTATCACAGTTTTAGCGGTTGCTGACTACTTTGCAAAGCAAAACCAGAGACCCTCACCCATTTCTGATTATGAGGTCTGATATGATTTGCTTACAACATATGAGGTGTGTTATGATTTGGTGAGTTCCACTTTCTATGTTAAGTTAGCAGAGATGATTTTTTTAGATTAGATTTTTTTATTGCAGCAATAAGAACATGTACAAGCAAATTATAATTACACTGTTCACCTAGATCACCTATAATTACACTGTTCACCTAGTTCAAAGGATAAAAAAATGCATGGTTTAAACAAGGGAAGTGTATGGTAACTGGAATGGCAACATTGCCCTGCTATTACAGTAAATTATGAATGAGAATAAACTGTAGACGATTTAAAATAGTAATCTAGCTGTTTGTGTTGACTCTTATTTGTGAGCTGAGCCAACTGATCTGACTTTCCGAAAAGAACTGGATTGACCTTCACTGTTGGCTACACCAGCAGTCAGGATTTATCAATCACAGTGGGGGAGAGGGGGCGAGGGTGTATGACGCATTCGCGTGAATTCAGTCAAACCTATGAAGCTGAGAGGTTACCTTAAAGTGATAAATGGTAAGAAGAGCAATACTTTCCTCAGATATCTGGAGCTTTGCAACATATTTTGATTGCCCCAATGTCTGATAATCATCATGATTTTTTAAAATTTATTATTTATTATTTATCTTTTGTTTGTTTGAATTTCATTGTATGTTATTTTAAATTATTTTGCTGTTGTTAATTTACCCTTTAGTGTAATAGTGATGCACGTTGTTATGTGTTATAATTGTTATGAATAATTGCGTCAATATAAAAAAAGAGGCTGAGAGGTGCAATACTGTTACTGCGTAACGTGGCAAATAAAATATTAAATGCTAATTTTAGGCCTAAATGCCCTTTAAAGGAAAAATCCTTTGATTTTTCAACATTTTTGCATGATTAAGACAGTCATTCAAAGTGGTTTGACAAGAAATGCGCCATTCTAGTCACTTGAGTCTGAATTGTTCACACTACTGGTGGTAGGAATCAGATGTTAGCTAATCATAAATACCAGAAATACTCCCCAGAAGTATTTAATGCCCCTTAAAGCTACTTCACTTAAGTTATTACACTAAATGAATTATTCATATGTTTCCTGATGGCCAAGACATTGTTTTATAACTTAAGCTAAAATTTTGGCTTAAATTTTTTTTTGTTTTTTCAATATAAATGGCAGGGAGGTACATAGAGGACACTGTAAGGCAAAATACTTCCCCAAGATTTACTACTACTTTACCATTATCAATATTACATATAAAACTGTAAGACATGTTCAGGTTCACAGGTCATTCTGGATAGCGAATAAAATGGATACACTTGTGTTGTAAACACTGTAACCCCTGGTTCCTATCACCACCACTGTAAAGAAATCAGTAAGTTTGTATACGAGTCATTTCACATAAGACACTCTGAATGACTTTGTTTATATCTCATAGGTCAAACTATAGACATGTAAAAATCGCCCATGAAGCCTTTAAATTTCATCACAAATTATTTCTCCATACCACTACACTGATAGTTTTTTTTTTAAGTACTTTTGAAAGGTAAGATTTTCTGCTTTTTTTAAAGTTGATATGTTGTGTCAAACCAAATTTCTAAGTTCACAGAAGTCTCTCTGACAGCTTATTTACAGGTTTACATTTTTCTACAATCCTTTCTTTTCTCCCTTTGTACTCTTGATCTTTATTGAATTACTTCAACAAATGACACAGAAAAGCTGCATTCAGCGCTTTGTGTCGGTTACAAAGATGCAGAAGAAAGACTCAAATATAAACACAAGAACAAGATGAACTGTATTTTTATTTTGACATCAGCAGAGCATTAGTGACACTTGAACAAAACTATTCCTGTGTTTTTCCCTCTCATGCATTTCATACAGTCTGGTGCCAGCAAGGACTTCTGTATCATACAGGACTCCTGAGAGGCCTGCTTAATGGTAATTTCCAGTCTGGTCCATACACTTGGGTATGTTGTCTTTTTCCAAAAAAACAAACAACAACAACAACAACAACAACAACAAAAAATATGCTTAGAGTCAGGTTCCTGATTCAAGTCGACTCTGAACACTAATGCACTTGACTCAAAGTTGATGGGACTGGACCAAAAGTTTTGAAGTACGGATACAGTTCTCCTCACCTGCCCTAAAACTAGTAAGCATGTTACACTCTTAAGAATGAGTAAAGCAGTGACTCAGCAGTTCTTGGTTAGGAGCTCCTGTATGCAGGTTGTCCCATTAAGTGCTCATAAGACTTTAGAAAGTTCACCTGCATTAGATGTCAAATTGTGAGAAATTAAAATCATACAGCTTAATAAATCTATGGACAGTCAAAAGTGAAAGAAATAGAAAAAACAGCTATCCAATGTACAAACCATAAAGATAATTAATACCACCAAAACAGTCTTGTTACCCTGACGGTTTCCATGCATCTTAGGTTTAACAGCAGAACAGTAATGATCTAAACAGTACAGCAGCGCTACATAATGATGCTCTGATATATTGTTTAATATCAGTATTGGTGTCAGGCCAGTCTTAGAGGCTGCAGTATTGGCTATTGGCTGAGTAGGGCTGCAGTCAGCATTTATAACCTTCAGTCTATCTCATGCCACACAGAGTAGCAGCAAAGTACACAGCTGGGCCAACTAGCTGCCTCACAAACAAATTTAATGCAGACACTGCCAGCAAGGCCTAGAGAAAGGGACAAGGGCAAACTAAAAAAAAAAAATGTACATCAGGATCAGACACTCAGATTCACACACACACACACACACACACACACACACACACACACACACACACACACACATTTCAAAGGAACAAAATCAAAGCAGGTACAAAAACATTTTTAAAAAGTTAATTATACACACACACACACACACACACACGTAAACATTTTCTTATGCTGCAGTTTGCTCCTGGGCTCCATTTTCCTCTACCTCCATTGCACTGTCAGTCTCTTTCTTTGCTTGCTCTGCTTCCTTCTGCATGTCGAAGAGTGGAGAGAAATAGAACAAGACAATAGCACAGACCCATTTAGATATGTTCACCTTTAAATTAAACATCACAGGAAGCACGCGTTTGAGAACACACTTACTTTAGCATTTTCCTCTATGTCCATTGCACTGTCAGTCTCTTTCTTTGCTTGCTCTGCTTCCTTCTTCATGTGAAAAAGAGTAGACAGAAACAGAACACCTTTAAAAATTCACCTTTAAAAATCTAACACAGGAAACAAACACTTGCAGACACACTTACTTTAGCGTCTCTCTCTGCAAACTTCTGGAACATGTTAGCATAAAGGCGTTTGTCCTTTTCATGCTGCTCCTTGATGTGTTTCTGGCACAGCAACACTTGGCTCTTTGCCGCCTTGTTGGCTGGATACAGCTGTATGACACGCTGGAAGTCATCTTTTGCTCTGTCAAATTCCTTCATCACAAAAAGCGCCTCTCCTCTTCTGAACAAAGCCTTTTCGTTATTTGCATCCAATTCCAGTGCCTACAAGCAGAGGACATAGGTCCATGAATACATATGAAACGTGATCCATAACTACTAAAAAACATGTCCATACAGAGAAGGTAAAATAACTAAAAGTTTTATTGTTCCAAGAATAAAAGTTACTTTGAGAATGAAAGCAACTGCACAAGAATAAAATCCACATTTTAGAGAACTGCAGCCAGTTGTTTCGGGTTAATACATCTGCTGCCCTGTCTAGGAGATTCCTAACAGTTGATGGCAGCCTAACTTTTAAATAATTGTGTTTTACTTTATCTGCAATGTTCCTAGAACTGTTCAGAGAAATGTGGCCCCACCATGCCATCATTCAAACTACCTGACTCATACATTGGATATAATCCACCATATTAATAAAGTTAAAAATGAATGAATTAGAATAAAATCTAACAATGCCCAAATATGTTAGAGGCTGTAAATGATTCATGAAAGTAATAAATTAAAATAAGTGTGGCAAAATGTATGTTAACGTGTCAGAAAAAGAGGTTGTCAATGGTTCTAGACCTTGTCACAGTTCTCAAGGGCAGGGTTGGGTTCCTGTAGTTTTAGGTAGCACATGGACAGGTTAAGGTGAGCTGCCAACCGCAGGGCTTTGGCTTTCTCTTCCTCCTCCCCCTGCAGACTTGACTCATGCTCCAGCCAGGACACAATGCGCTTATACTGCACTGCTGCCTGCTTGTATTTTCCATCCTAAACAGAGAGGGTTTAATCAGTTTTGTGAAGAAACAACTGAATCAAAGCTTGAGTCCACTGAATATCTTAGAATCTCAATGTTAAGTCTGCACTATAGTGAGGGTACTGTCTGTACCACTACTTTACCATGATCAACACTGCATACAAAACTATAAGACATACACTATAGTGAGTGTGTGAGTATTTTTGCTGTTTCCTACTTTGAAGTACTGAGTTCCTTTTTCTTTGACGATAACACTCTGCTCCAGTTTCTCACTAGTGTTCATCTCCCAGGATTCTTTTGCCTGTGAGGCAGTAGAAGTAAATAAATGAAAACAAAGCACATACATGTCCAAACGCTAACAGCGTTTTGTCAATTTGTGAACGTTTAAGCAGACTTACCTTCTCAAAAGCTGTCAATTTGATTTTGTATTCGAGTGTTGCACCAGATGGAATGTTAAATTTGGCATGGCCAGCATTTCCAAACCCATATCTGAAAATGCACACAAAAAGATTTTGTCAGTAAAAACAGATAAGTCCTTCACCATGTCTAGAGTATGTGCATTTGTACTAGTGGTAAAAAAAAAATGCATTCTCCTCTGTTCTCTCAGTGAAAGCATGGCATAAAGTTCTTTGATTTAGCAACAAACCTCGATAAATACCATCTATGTGTGTTAAAGGGTGCAATTACTTTGGTTTTATAGTGAATAGAGACTCCTCTCCCTGCTCCATAGCCTGTAATGCTTTCTCCACACCAGGCGGCAGGTCAAGACTCTCTCCATCTCCCACCGCAAACTTTAGGTCCCGATTGTCAAACACACGCCCTTCATGATTACCTTCCACATGCACTAAGAGAGAGTGAGAGAGAGACAAAAGCAATGAGTGGCTGTCAGCTGTATCGTGTCCCACTCCCACAGTGTCAGAATGCTTATGTGTGTGCTTACCTTCCACAGAAGCTCCCTCATTGGGTTTAGTGTAGCCCTCTCCTTTGGTGACAATTCTACGAATAATTCCACCATCTTCATCCTCAGTGATGTCTTCCCCATGAAACTCAAACAACTCAACCTGTCACACACAAACCACAAGCATGAAGAAAAACACAAAGGCAAGAAACACCGTGCATGCACGTTTCAGCAAAGAACTGGTTGGTTCATATGCTGGTGTATGGTTACAATGTACCTGGAACACAAGTGTGGCATTGGGTGGAATTTTAGGTGGGCTGCCAGCAGCTCCATAGGCGTACGTAGGTTTGCAGATCAACTGACAGATCTCACCAACACGCATTGTTGCTACACCGATATCCCATGCTTTAATCACCTGACCTGCAGGACACACATAAGTCAAGCAAGTAAAGTTCTAATACCTAATTTTACATGCTACGTTTTCAGTCCATAAAGATCAATCAGCGCCACTTGCATGGACAGAACAGTCAATGTGTCAACCCACCTTTGCCCAACTCGAAAGAGAACTTCTCTCCACGGTCCCGACTGGAGTCAAACTGTGTACCATCCAAAAGTGTACCAACATAGTGCACAAATACTTTGTCGCCTGTCATAGGCAACTCTGTACCTGTGCCCTCCTTCTTCACCAGCTAGAGCAAGAGAGAAAAAATTATGCAGAAATGGAGGCATCACACCTTTGAACTATCACGATAAAACAGGCAAAATGCTGTATCCATTCCTAAATTTGATGAACAATATAATGAAATGAGCTTGAATTATTACTGCTATTCTTTCTAGACACTGAGCAGGAGGGGACTGTTCACCAATCCTCTAGACATTTCTGGAAACATGAACCTGACACTCAAGCAACGTGCTCGCTAAATTATCTTTCTGAGAACACAGCTAGCTAGAACAGCAACTGGTCTATTCGATTCTAAACAAAGTGCTGTTAATGAATCTCGGTGTGTTTTGCGTTTTTACAACAATATAATGCATCTTGCATTCACTCCAGTATACTGCTACTGCAGTGCTGCTACCTACAGGTTTGCTAGCGTTAGCTTAGCTTACGAGTCGCTAGCTAACCTAGTTAAGTTGCACTGCTGTTTCTTGTATTCAACTTCAGCTAGCTAAACTGTTCACAGACTAGCCCTACGAATATGAAATCAAGATTATTTGAGTTCAAATTCCGTATTATTAGTTACACTACAGAACACAACTAGCTTTAGCTAGCCAGCCAAATATCCTCACTAGACCAACTAATACCAGCTTAAAAACTACCATCTGCTGATGATAATGCTGCTGGAAGGCTAGCTAGCTAGTTTAGTTAGCGTTAGTCAACGTAATCTTCTGCTTAACCTTAGCTAAGTTATACAGTTAACTAGGTAACGATAAAATAGCATTTGCAAACGTTGCTTTCCCACAAATCAGCCCTTGTGGTAGTAGAAAGGAACTCGAAAGATACTGAGCTCCTATAATGTTTGCTAACTGTTAGGTTACCTATCCTCCTCTCCGGCCTCTGCGTTATTTACGTTATTTAGCCATCAAGCTAGCTTATCAGTCTGTGAATGGGGCTGCATTAAGCTCATTCATAGCATTTTAGCTAGACACCGTCAGAACTCATGTCTCTAATGTTCGGCAATTGGACTAAGCTTCTGAAAAAATGAAGAAAAAAAATGACACTTTAGAAACGAAAAGCTGAAATCAGCTTCCTATTAGCTAGAATTTTCCCGTTTCACCTTAACTAGCGCAGCAGTTAAGTTACATTCTGGCGCCTGTAACTGCTGCATCATTTAAGGTGGAACGGAACAATTCGAACAAGAGGCTGGCTAATGGGAAGCCAACTTTAGCCTCGTCTCGAGAAACGCGTTCACCATATAAAATAAATCAATACCTTCAGGACTCCTCCATCTTTCTTGGAAGTTATGTCTTCTCCCTCGATTGGGATGCTGTTTCCATCATTTGCAACTTCTTCTGCAGTCATAGCTGGCTATAAAATGTCTTCAATAAATCAACTATGTTAACGCAGTCCTCCTTCTCCAAACCGAGTTAACGTAGCTAACTGCTGCAGAGTCAGATGGCAGCTAGTTAGGGCTGCAGCACTTCTGCTGGTGTCTCTGATCGCAGCTGAGACGCAGTGTGGTTTCTAGTCCAATAGATAATTAAATGCTAGTTAGGTCGGTTCTGGTTGTAACCTTCGCTTGCAGGATGAAATATTACGTAACTTGTAGCTATCCGAGTCAAGCGGCTGCCTCGTCCCTCACAGTTAAGTTCAGCGACAAGCTACACGTGCGTGTCAAGATTTGAAGCAAGCAGCGCCTTCCAGACGGCTCTGGAAGAAGGGCAGCGAACTTTCCAGAGCTGCTCAAACGGGCGGGGCGGGGCGAGGCGCAGAGCCAGGCACCGTCAACAAAGTACCGGCAAAAAAAGAACGACTCTCTGATTAACCCTTACAACCGAAGACACTCGAGAAGCTCTTAAAGTAATCATTATAACGTTCAATTGTGTAAAAAAATGAGTTAGTTTATGAGAATGGATGTGTAAGAGTACGTTTGATAGAACAATCAGAAAAGGTTGCAATTTGACCACTTTCCCTAATGCCGAGCGAGCTGAGTCTTCTTTCCATTGGCTCTGAGGTGTCAGTGGCGGGACTGTTCAAGGAAGAGTTCGTTGTTTTCTTCATGGGCAGCTGGGTAACCTTTCGCTAACGTAACGTTAACTCGTTGATCAAGGGTCGTGGTTAGTATACAGTTTATACGAGTTCGGAAAGTGTTGTAGTTTTCAGTCCGTTGTGTTTAGATTAAATAAATGGTCCAGGTCATTATTTTTTTCTGGTCAGAAGCTCGTGCGTGGATAGACAGGATCTCCTGTACCGCTTTGACCTCCCTCTCAAATAACGCTAGGCTGGAAAGTCTGCTTAGTGAAGTGTTTCTAACCGTTTAGCTTATTTTTCCTTATCGATTTGATCGTAACGTTAGTCGCAGACGTCGTTGTGTACGCAATGGAGAACGGGGATCACGGGGCTCGTTTTCCGTTCCCGTTCAAACCGTACTTGATCCAGGAGCGCTTCATGGAAGCGCTGTACGCGGCACTGGAGCAGCGCAAAGTGGGCATTTTCGAGAGCCCCACCGGCACGGTCAGTCCGCAGAGAGCATTATCAGTTTCATAATATGAGAGAAAGTGCAGAACTACGCCATCTGCTGGTTGCATGTAAAACAATTTGGCTCGCCACACATTTCATCATAGGATAAATTGATAAGGAATTAAAAATCACTTGAAGCCAGAACCTTTATGAAAATCGTTTGACCATCACATAAATACAGTAGCTACACATACAGTATGATAGCAGTACACTAAATACAATATATAACTGTTTTCCTGAGGTCATCTATGTTACAGACTTTGTCTTTTTTGGGGAAACAACTTCGTAGAGATGCACGATGAAACAAGTATCATATCGGTATCGCTATATAATTACTTGAAAATGATCGCCGCTGGACGTCAGATGCCCAATATTTTATATTGATATTCGATGATGTATTCATAGGACTCTGGAAGAGCACAATGTTTAGGTGACGCTGGGCTAATTTGCTAAAATGTCGTATATCTTTGTAATAGTAATCCAGGTAGATATACTCCCACTTTACACATTTTATAGATATAGAATGTTTATGCATGTGTCTGCATCAGCATAAGTAGATATTTATGTGAAAATGTCAAATATTGACATTGACACACAATTGTAATGTCATGCAAATTTATATGAAGGTAAGCACAAAATGTGCACAGTGTGGGACCCCCTGGTGTAGGTGAATGGGTCTGGTGCTGGGTGGTCTGTGCTTTACACTGATGTTTCCCACTGATGTTTCACTGAGTTCCCGTGTTTGCAGGGAAAGTCTCTGAGTCTGATTTGTGGAGCTCTGACATGGCTGAGAGACTTTGAGGAGAAAAAGAGAGAGGAGGCTGCCAGACTTCTGCAGGACTCAGAGAGAGACAGAAAAGAAGGAGGAGGGGAGAAGGACTGTAATGGAGTCCAGAAGAGTGGCCAGGAGGAGGAGAGAGGGAGCAGCGGAGCTACGACAGAGCCGGACTGGGTGTCTGAGTTTGTGCAGAAAAGAGCTGAGAGAGAGATGGTGAACAAATTGAAGGTAGCAAATAAAAATCTCCAGCAGTAGATAATGCAGTTGGGTTTAATTTACATTGTTATATCCATATATGTCTATGAAGTGTGTTTGTTTTGTTCAATATTAATTTTTTTCTTTCCTAGGATGAGGAGATGAAACGGAAGAGGAGAGAAGAGAGACTGGAGATGATCAGACACAATGCTCAGCTTAAATATGCCATGAAAAGAAAAGTTAGTCTATGTGGTGTCCGACCATTTATAGCTGAATGCACATGTGCTTGTGTGTCTGTAATTGTGTCTGTCTTTATATGTGTAGAACAACGAGGTTAATGAGGTGGAAAAGTTGCTGCAGCTCAGTAAGCAGGAGCTGAGTTCGGAGGAGAAATCTCATGAAGAGGAAGAGGAGGGCCTCATTGTTGCAGATTATGAAAGTGATGAAGAAGCCACAACCAAAACCAGGTATGTATGTGTTTACATGCATGTGCATCTGAGTTGTGGTATTTCTCTGTCCTATAATGCTCATGCTTACTGTCTTCCAGGATCTGTGATGATGACGATGATGATGATGATCTTGAGGAAGAGCATATCACTAAGGTGTGTTTTTGTGACTTGTACACTACTGTTTAGAATTAGTTTTAATAATATAAAACCGATTGTGTTGCAGGTACATGGGTAACATTGTTCTATTATGATGCTGATATTCTATAGCTTTCAAACTATTTGTAGGAAGGAAAAATCTACAATGAACTGAGCTGTAGAGGATCCCATAATTGAGACAGCTATGTAGCTTTGAGAATTGACTTCTATATTAATATTTATTTATTATATTTAAATTATAACAATTAATATCCAGAATGCCTTGTATTCAAAAAGCAGTGACCAAATCTTGTGGACCAAATACCTATTTACAGTAATTTTGTGATGACTTTACTATGAATAGGTAGCTACAGATGAACATTTACAGTTTTTTTACCACGTCGTTCACAAAAATTGTTTGTTTCGTGTCTTGTTCATAATATAACATTGAGTCATTGTATGTTATTATTAATATGACATATGACAATTAATTCCAGACTTTTGAAAGCTAGTGTATGTGTAATGCTTTTTTGCTAAGACGCATGCTGCTTTTATTGCTTTGTTAACCCCAACAGAAAAAGCATGTAACGTGTTTTGACAGGTTCTAATACAAACCGTTTTACAGAGGTGAAAATAATATTAAAGACCAATACAGTGCAAACGTCTCAGACAGCCAAGAAAATTCTATTTTTTTCTGGCAAAAGTGTGATTTTGCCAATAATGACACTATATAACATTAGAAATATAAATAAATATGAATATAATACAATGCAAGAACAATGTTTTGTTTTTTAAAATAAAGTTATTGATATGTTGGTTAGAAGAATGCAGGTTTGTTTTCTGACTTCTCTCTGCACTGCAGCCATTGCATTACTTTGTTAAGTTCCATCAGAAGCAAACCTGAATCCTTAAATTAATAAAGAATTGATCAGCTGAAGAAGGTATTGCAGGGTAACTGTAAATAATGGACTTCCTCAAGGAGAGCTGTGGAAATGGTTGAGACAACAAACCGTTATGCATAACTTTGATTTGATTTGATTTGTTTTTATTTTAATGCATTATTACCAAATAAATGTTTAATGCCCAGAAAAATAGCTTTACATGTCATTATCTCAGATGTCTAAGAAATTTGGACAGTACTATATATTTAACATAATGCATTTGTGTTTCTTATCAGATATATTACTGCAGCCGTACACATTCCCAGTTGGCCCAGTTTGTGCATGAAGTGCAGAAGAGCCCATATGGATCCACAGTCAGTTTGGTCAATCTGGGCTCTAGACAGGTGCAACTCATACACACATACACTTTGCACATGTGATGACTTTTCTGAGTGGCTGTTAGGTATGCTTTTAGGCTTTTAGATTAATGAAAGACTTTGTAGTGGAAGGAAACAAAACACTTCAGAGCCCTCATTATTGATTATGCCTGCTCAGAAACAGATGTGTACTTTGATGTTGCTGATGGTATGAGCTACAATTTGGCCTGTTTGTTGACCATTGTGAGGAAACTGAACGTGTAAATAGAACTTGTGCGTTCAGTGGGGAATGTGCATTTGTTGAAAAACAAAAACAGAGAGAGTCTGTCAAACTATTAAAAATAATAATCAGTACATCCCTTGTTAGAACCATTGGCTGTATATATTTTGTATATGATATGAAGAGCATACGATATGATCCTGAGTTCAATTTCTTCACAGCCATATTGGTTGATGGACAGCTTATTTGAGCGTTTTTTATTAGCCTTTTTTAAATGTGAAGCTCACACTGTGTGGGCTAAATTAACCTGAAATGAATATGATACACATTACCACATTTTATTAGCCAAACTTGCAATATAAACAACATTATATTCTCTTTAATGAGCCAGACTGGTCTTTTAATTTTTCAATTTCAAATCAGATGCCTATTCAAATAACATAATAAAATGCTACATTGAAAGTAGGAGGCAACTGGCTATTTAGCACACTGAGTCATGCATAAATATGCTATGACATTTTGGTGTAGGAGTACCATTAGCATTCAAATACAGCACAAGTGCACTTACGTGCCTCTTTTTGTCTACAGGTTTTTGTAATGCTGACCTCAAGCCTAATAGATATCTTCTTAAACATGTGTACATATTTATGAGTCTGAAATATCCATGTACATTAATTCCATTAGTTACTAATTTATTCTTCTTTGTCTCCAGAATATGTGCGTTAATCCAGATGTGGCATGGCTGGGGAGTCTTCAGCTGATTAATGATCGCTGTATGGAGCTTCAAAAAAACAAACATGGTCAGAAATACATACTGTGACACATATACTCCCACACAACATAACTGCAACACTGACCACCATCATTAAAAAGCAAATATGGTCCTTAAACGTCTAAAAAATAAATTATGTGGGAGATGCTCAGAAGGGTGACTACACAGATTCTGTAGAAAGATGGTGACCTGTGACCTTTGTCCCCAGATAAGCAGAACAAGGCAGACTTGGAGCCGAAGCGCCGCCGTGGCGTTGCCAAGGCAACCTGTGCCTTCTCTGGATATGAGAAGTTGATGGCAATGCGAGACGAGGTGCTGGTGAAAGTGCGAGACATTGAACAACTCCTGCAGCATGGCCGAGAGACACACACCTGCCCCTATTACAGCACACGGATGGCTATT